ACCATGAAACTGGGTCACATAGGTCCTGTTAGGCTCCCTGGCTGGGGACCTCGGGATGATTGTTACCGACCGTTAGAGACACTGAGCGATATGGCTGGGTGTCGTAAACAGTGGTGTTCGTGCATCTCCTTAATTTCTTTGAATCCTTAGACCACTGAACTTCTCCATTTTATTTTCGACTCCACTTTCCTTTCTTCTCCTATTCTTCATCCCAATGGGCAACCAAAAGACAGCAACCAAAAACCGGCGCACGAAAGTGCATGTTTAATGGTTGTTCAAACTAAAACTGAACTTGTTTATTGGCGCGTAGAATGCTTCGTAGAATATTTTAACATGATTGGTGATTATGGATTTTAGTGGGCCATGTTAAAAGATTAATGAGGTTTAGGCAAAGGAATACGAGGAGCGCGAGAGGGAACAAATGATCAGTTACAGGCTTGTAGAACAAATGGAAATGATTACAAAGAATCGAATATGATTGCTTTTATTTGGGTGTGATGTATAAATTACTGGTAGCCGCAAACGACTAGCGGCACTATTTGGATTGTTAGATTATAGCCAATCAATCCATACCAATTTCTGAATACACGAAATGCACTTTTAGATCAAAACACACCTTTGATTTCACTTAGGTAATTCCACCGCCCTCCAGGTTTGTTCCAAATACTGTTCTCTATTCCGCTTGAAGAAGCGAAAATTATCCAGCTAAACCACGGAATCGTCCACCTTATCACTGGGCCATTACTTTCGAAGAACCAAGGCACATGAAGTACCAAAATCCTTTCGTTGGTCCAAGGGAATGAAACCTCAATTGTCTTGGAAACAACGGACATTGGATCGGATTGACGTCCGATGATAGTGACTCGCAGATGCCTAACCCTGAATTTGCGTCAGAGAACACAAGGCTGGGAAATCTACGTGTACTGCATAATGAACCATGAATCAATGGAAACACAACGACATACCTCAAATTAGGGGCAACCCGGTTTGGACAAAACAATCGGTTCGAAACGACAAGGGTCAACGTGCCAGGAAAACACTCTTGGAAATCGGATGAGGAATACGATGTGGATATAGCGACAGTGCTATTTAAAGGGCAGTGAGAACCAATCACAGGGGGATCGGATAGCAAAGTGACACCAAAGGCGCGTGTGAGGGGAGGGAGCGACAGACGGTAACCGTAATCACGGTAAAATTGAGAGAATAGACAACGAACACGAGGAGGGTGTCCGGGANATGAATAACTGAATTGCGAGAAAGAATGAATAGTGACAACAGTGAAGACGGTAAGGGAATCATAGTGGGTGAATGATGGACAGGTGACCACAATAACACGAAGTAGTTCCTATGTCGGGTCGAGATAATTGATACCAATAATGGATTACGATAATAGGACAACAATTACGACAATCAGCATGAAATAGTTTCCGTGCGGGGTGGAGATAAAAGATTACAGTAAGATTTGGATGAAGAAGGGGTCACGACGATTAATACCAAATAGTTTCCATGTGTGTTGGAGATAACAGATTGCGATAACCGGTTGAACAAAGAACCGGTCACGATAATTAACACGTATTTTGCTATGACAGCGGCAAAGGATAGCGTTGGTCGTATTTATGAACACTTCAATAAATGTCAAAATCATGCTCAACAATTCATGAACCATTTTGGCAGCGTTTGTGCTTGCTTGCGTGGTCTTTCCCATAATGTTCTTTTTGATAAATTTCTCTGGTTATCTATTATTTCTACGTGTATATTTTTATGTTTTCTAGTTCTTCTTCTACTAGGTCCTTGGAGCAAATTATTCGGGTTTTGAAGATTAGACATTGTGCTAAATATTTTTTAAATTAGATTCAAAATATACTAGGGAAATGAATGTACCGACCGCTCCAAAAAGTCGGCTATCAAACATTTCCCCAATTCCTCGTGGTCATCCCTCTCACTTTTCTTCCACTGCTAACAAATAGACCAGTATAGACATTTTTGGTTTTGTTCTCATTTCTCATTTGATGAACCAATCGCGTCTAATACTATCCTATGTATAAAACACCACCCTAAATGACTGCTCAGCCCTACATGATGCAGTTTTATCAGCATAACCACACATCCTATTCGTCCGCACATCTCTGTGTTGTCGTTCATCTTACTTTTAATCGTGGGCATATTTCTATAAGGACTACCGGAGATGCATTTCAACAAGATGTGCACATGCAAAGAGTCCTAGAAGGCTGCGCGCCCTTCGACTGGCTGCGCTACGTTTTGTATGCTCGTTGTCTCACTGGATTTTATTGTTATATTTATATCAAACATGCTTCGGACCAAGACCCATTCTCGTCAGGATATGCTTAGAATGAAATCAGTCAATTCTGTGTCTAACACAAATAATATACTTGGAGAATCTGGCAATCATGCTGGGATCAAGAACCCCAACGTGTTGGATGGCAATGGGTGCTTAATACCACCCCTCTTGAAGAGATGACCGTGCTATCATTGGTCAGCACCAACTTTCGCTCTCTTTTCGCAATGATCTTGGATTTTACTTTTTCACTGAACACACGCATCGATTCTATGTCGTATGCAAAAGAGAAACCCGGTTGAGGATGCTCTCATGCTGATAGATGGATTCGACTGTTACCGGCAAGATAGACAACATAGCAGAAAGAACACTGCAGGCGGTGTGGCAACGTGCATCAACACTTCTCAGTTTGGGAAGTCTGAAGTGGTTTTCAGCTTTTCTGAAAGGTCCATTGACTGTTTATCCGTTCGTTGCCATCCCAGATTCTCTTGGTAGAAAAATACAATTAATACTAATGTGTATATGCCTCCTTCGTGCTCCTAGTTACATATATCTTCTTTCTTTGATCATCACATCCCGCCTTTGGTTTCAATATTAGTTCAGAATGTTCATTGGGTTATTGAGGATTTCAACCATGCAAGCGTTTTCCCTGTGCTTCCTTTTGACTAGACCGATTCGTCTCATTCTTCTAACAGAAGCAGCTCTATACTTGACCGGATAGTCACAAACCGTACCAATTTGCTTTTTATCAAACTAATGGCTCCAGTCACCATCAGTGATTAATGTATTCTCCTCATAAGACCAAAGATATACTCTCACTCTACATATCCCACATTCATACGATCAAACCAGATAAGGTTTCATATCCGTAACTTTTCATCAACCCGCATTTCTCTTCTCTGTCGTTCCATAACAGTTGCCCAGTCTTGGTTTGCTTCTTGTTCATCACTTCTTAACTGTGTCCGTCTTTTCACTGAAACGATGCAATTAATTTTCTACTTTTGCTGTCCCATGGAAACGCTATTTGTTTGCAACGGCAAAATTGCATCCCCTTTTTTGAACTCGATACGAAGGCAAAGGGAGCGATCCTATAAATCTCACCAACCATCATCTGTAAAACACTATTCTTACTTAATTAAGGTTGATACAACAAGAGTTGATGTGTTAACTTGCAGTTAATTGGTTGCGTGAGGACAAATGGAATCTTTGGACTGTCACCGTAAAACCCTAGTACCAGGGAAGCTTAAGAACTATAGACCTCTACTATTCCAATAAAGTACAACCAAAATATCTGGACAAAGTATTGTATTCGGTAAATATTATACATATCAGGTTAGCTTTACCACCGCTAAGCCTGAACAACAAGAAATGCGCAAAAGTAGGACAAATGAAATTATCTATTCCATCTTCCCAAACTGAGTGTTCTCCAGTGGGAAAACTACTTTCGAAGATTTTGGGCTCAAGATTCTAGCCAAGATATAACCCCTGGTGTGCAGTAACTCAACGAGTCTTCGTCACCACGTGACCTTTACGGGCGAATAGATCCAATGGACGACGTGAAAATTATGTCGACCGCTGACCGTTGACTTGTTCAATTGCACGCCGCAACTCAGCGCCGTACTTGCAATCCAACTGTCTAAAAATGTCCAGGTAATTGGACATTTCAAATCCGCGAATCGGTTCTTCCTGAAACAAAAAACGAAACGCAGATTAATCTATGGGTAGCGAGCGAACATAAAAAGGCTTGTATAAATCGGCACAATTTTGGGGGTACAGATATCATGTTCCACGCCACTGAATCTATTTGAATACAACGTAGTGAATTCAATGATAAGTTACTGGGAGAACTTATTTATCTTAATTTTTATGATTCTAAAGAAGCCATCGATTCTTTATTTCAACAAATAACTTGTCTTTTGTTTTGGAGTCTAAATTTAGGGTGAAAACACTTTGTGTCATTGACTTTCACCGGATTCTAAGTGCATTCTTTGAAATCATTAACAACTTTGGTTTGGGAATTATCTCCTTTCCTGTACACAATCATTCAATTTCTCTAAGTGTCGTAATAGGTTGTCCACATCTTGGTAAACATTTGATCGCATATGAACACAATGCGTGAAACGGATTAAATGTTCTCTTCGTAGTGAAGACAATCGTTATGAGAATAAATTGCAAAAACAGGTAGTGAGAAAAATATGTGATTTATCTCATGTAACTACACCTTTTCCCATCAAGCTTTAGCCAAAACCCGCAATCCTTTAGCCAAAACCCACAATCCTTTAGCCTCGACCCGCAATCCTTTAGCCTTGACCTACATTCCTTTAGCCAAAACCCGCAATGCTTTAGCCACGACCCGCAGTCCTTTAGCCTCGACGCACAACCTTTGGTCACACCGCTGTAGGCGAGTCAGAACAAAAACTATCGGTATATTCTGAGGTCAACGAATGTTGAAAAAATTTA